TTCGGCCAACACTATCCGTTTATGTGCAGACTTGACGTCAAACGTGGCTGCGTGCTGAGGCTCCGAACAATTGCGTAGCGGGAAACTCTCTAGCACGTCACGAGCTGATGGATAGCACTGACGCTCCGGAATCCAACAATTTTGATTGGTATTACAGATACTGCTTCCTGGACAATCGGGGTGGTCGGGAGTCTGAAAAAGCGATGCCAAGTTTACCCAAGCCAACTCCGCATGGGTACTGTTGCGAAGCCTCTGCTTCATCACCTTCAAATTCAAAAATCCAACCCTGGTCTATTTCAGTTTGAAGCAACTCAGCAGTGAGTTCTGGGTAGTCCTCACTAGACTTCCAATTCCCTCTATGAAGCTGGAGTGATGGGCTCTCAAGATCTGGCGCCGTATCTTTGGTCCAAAAGACTCCGCTAGGACGGATTGGATCGTCTGAGGTGCTGGCTGAAACTCCTGAAATGAGGCAGTCAAACAAGAGGCGGTCAGGGTCTTGCAGCTTTTGGCCAAGAGCATTCAGAGCCGCAAGACACATCGGCTGTTCGGATCGGACGGACCAATCCACTGGCAACCAAGAGGAAAACAAGTCGCGAAACTGATTGATGCAGTCATCTGAAAAAGGTGGGTCCGGGCGTTGTTGGTCCATGTGCACTAAAAATTCTTTATGCAGGCCCTGATTGAGCGCTGATACTTTGGATCAGCTGGAGATTCAATTTCTACAACGGAATTGTAAGCCTTCATCCAGACAAGCAAGCCAAACTCATCGCACAAATTGAAGAAATGCTCAAACATCGCCAGTGCGCCAGCAAGCAACTTGAAAAGTTCACAGGACTGGCCCTTTGGGTCACCCACCTGTTCCCGCCATTCAGAGCTTTGTTGCATTGGCTCTTTTCAGACTTGCATAGTTGCCCTGCAACACACTACAGTGTCAACCCCGGTTGTTGGACGTTAGTCAAATCATGCTTGGCAGATGATCTCAGCTTTTTGTGTACTCCACAAGGGACGGCCATTCCACCACAATCGAAACTGATTTCAGTTCGCCATACCACGGTTCAAACTCTACAGGAGGTAGAAGCCGTCCGTCTCACCAACCGTCGGTTGTGGCTTCGCATTATCAATCCCCGGTCCCAACACCGAAAGCTTTCGGGCCACAGCAAGAGAGTCCTGAAGTTACGGCTAGATTGGCTCAAACTCTCTGCTCCTCTCCGCAGTATGCGCTCGCGGATTCAGGTGAGCGTCCGAGCTTCCGCGGATGCGTCAGCATCCGGAGAGTGTTTCCAAGTGGGTGGTCTCATTGAAATCAATCATCTTGACTTTTGGTTTTCCGAGAGTTGGACAGTTCTTGATCTTAAACCATTTGATGTCCCCGTCCGACCAGACGCACAACGGGACATTGCATGCAACGAAACATTAGCCCAAGGTTTTCTAATCTTGCTGTGCCTTGCAATATGTCCCACTGTTAGCCTACCCCTGCACTTCCAGAGCCCCAGCGACAACGTCGCGACTGAAGCTTCGATTAACAAGTTGTTCACCACATCCACTCCGCTTTGCCATTTCGTGGAACACCTTGCTTACATTTTAGTTTCTGAAAGATTGACTTGCGAAGTGTCCCATATTCCGGGGCCACTTAACATTGATGCCGACTTGTTGAGTTGATGGGATTTCCTTAGTGAACTCCCCGCCAAGTTCGCACCGGCTCATAGGCGACGCATGAGCCTTTCGAGCTTCTTTCGGTCTCACGTAGCCCCACGGCTGTGTCCAGACAGCTTCCCGCTTAGATGGACGTTTCAGTCCTCCTAGATTCTTTTCTCTGCCAACACTCAGTGCTTTTGGGGATAGGTTTCCGAGTGTTGTTGGAAAGCGGTTCGGTGAATATCATCCCAACTTACTCGAAACCAGTTGGCAGTGAAAAGAAAGCGATGAGTTTCGGAGTGCGGCCTTCTTGTTCATGTATTTAGAACATTGAGTATCTCTAGAACGTTGGTTGTGATCATTCATAAATTGTTTTGGGATACTTCTTGTTCGTTGTGCCATTTTGGTTCTAGGATATCTCAATGTTCGGCCCCTCCCTCCACACCCTAATGTTTGCTGTTCTCCGATTACCTCATTCGCTACGCCGAGGACCCATAGGATCAGAACAGCCGAGCCGAAGATCCTTAGGATCGGAACAGCCAAGATCCATCGGATCCACGCGTGATTCACAATGTATGAATCGCTCGCTCAGGGGGTGAATATCATCCCAACTTACTCGAAACCAGTTGGCAGTGAAAAGAAAGCGATGAGTTTCGGAGTGCGGCTTTCTTGTTCATGTATTTAGAACATTGAGTATCTCTAGAACCCTTTCACTGTCCTGTGGTGGATGGCCCGTCATCGATTGGGCAATAGGGTGTGTACTTTTCGATGATGGTGTGTTTTGTGATGCCTTCAGCGTTTTGTGGCGTTTGTAGTATGTAGTTTGCAACCCCACTTCGGCGCCACGAAATCTGCTCCACTTTGGCCAATGCACTGGGCCTGCCGCGGCCAACTTCTTAAAGGTCGCATATCCACACCAAGTATTGCACACCCTCGCTTAAGTTTGATTATTTGTTGCAATCATCCTTTCATGGTCCTCTGGTCGCCTGCCCTTGTGTGCTTTTCCTTTCGTAGCTCACTGGGAATAGTTGTTTGTTATCCCTTCTGTATTTCTTGTTGGTCCCCGTCGAATATTTTTTTTAATGGATGCTGTACCTTTCTTGATCCCTCACCCACACGAGGTGTCTCATGCGTTCTTGGGCTGTGAAGTGTTTCTTGGCCACCTGTTTTGCTGAGTAATTTTCACCCAGGCATCTTCTAGGCACTTGGCTTTCGTACAAACTCTTATCTCAAGTGTGTCTCTCCTCGTGAAAGTCCGGAGTGAGCCCAACGTGTGCCTTCCGTGTCCCCAGTCGAACTTCGGGGTGAAAGTTGCCAGCGATGCACAGGGCAGAGCAGAGTTTGGAGTTTTAGATCGCAGCCGGAGCCTGAATAATGCAACGCGCATAGCACTCTTTCCATACAAAGCGAAGCTAGGTTGCCCAGGCTTTATATAATGAGGTTTGGATCGTCCGTCTCATTTGGTTTCCCCATCATCTGCAAGCACGCACACACACACACACACACACGCACATTTTCTTTCCTTTTTTGGTTTCGTGTTTTCTCTTGTTCTTTTGCGTACACGTCGGTGTCAACCCTAGTGTACGTGCACTGACACTCCGAAACGAGGCTTTTAGATGCCCCAGGTCTTGGTACAATGATGTTTGGCTCATCGTTGTTCTCAGTCATTGGTTTCCTTTTCACCTCCACACGCATCGCTTGCTTTTTCATGTTCTTCCTTCATGTCCTTTTGCTTGTCCTCTTTTTCGTGCACCTGTACTTTAATGGCCGCCTAACGGTCTGTGTTTGTCCTCCCTCCCACCTTTGGGCGGGCCTCAGTATGCGGTCTGCTGTGTGATCCCGTTTTTGGGCGCTGTACTCGCAGACTTTCAAGAGTGCCTATTTCTGAACACCCCCTGCCTTGCTTGATCATGATTGAATCTTCAGTTCAATCTTGGGAATGTTGACTCCAAGTTGCAGAGCCGCTGAAACTACCACTGATATCCAGTAGTAATTCGCTTTCACGCAGTTGCATTGTTCTAATGCTTCTTTCTCCTTTCCTAAAGCATCCCCAGGGAACATCCCTTGTAGAATAAGGGACACTGGTGCCCAAAATCAGATGGACGATGTAGAGATTGTATTTTTTGGGTCAACTTTTTGTCTGTGAAACCCATCCCCGCAATGATCATTAACTTTTGAGCATTTTCGAGATTTTAAAGAGTTTCTGATAGTAGTCTCGATCTCATGGAGACAGTGGACGAGTAAAGTCGATGAAATACGAGTAGGGTGGGTGCCCTGATTTTGGAGAGAAAACGCATTCAATTTTATAGAGAAATCATTCTGAACCTCAAATCTTGGTTCTACAACGAAAGAATATTAAGCAAGAATTAGTCAATTAGTCAATCGTTAGAGTTTTGCAGAAGACATGAATAGATGTGAACAAAAATTTGCTACACTCGACTATTTACATATGTCGTTCCTAGTTTTTATACAGAAAATATGGATAAATTCAGTTTCCAGCTTGAGGGTGGGTGCCCACATCTTATAAGCTTTCCAGTGTTTTTCAAGACTGGTTTCATTGGTTTTTAGAGAGTTTGGGTGCATCCTCCAAGTGGGTTCCTTATAAGATTGCCGCCCCCAGGCTAGGCTGGAATTCACCTTTGGATGCGAAAGGCTTGTTAGGTGCGCTGGACATACGCGGCGTGTTCCCCAAAACACACAGTTCCTGACGGAACGCATCTTCTAATTTGTCGTTCATTCGAAGCTCATGCTCGGAAACTCATGACGCTTTGTTTTTTTGCTTGTATTTCCTCTTCCTGTTGTTCTCCGTTCTCTCTCTCTTTCTAAAGGCTAGTTATGTAGGCCGTAAAGGAGGTTCTGAACTGTTGTCTTATTCCTTCCTGGCCTTTCTTTTTCTAGCTTCTAGAGGCTGCTCAACAGGTTTTTTAGTCAAGGGTGCGCCGGATCACGGCTCCCTGTGAGTGTCAAACCCCTGTTTCTAAGGCACTGCGACAGGGGGATCACCCATGGACTTGATTGGTGATACATCAAAGATGATCAAGTTCCTTACTGATATCTGGCCTGATCAGCCAGATGTACCTTCTGATTGTACCTCCAATTCCTCATGGGCCTTGCATCGGTTCATACTGTTCTCCACCATGCCGTTCACAAGCCAAGATCTATTGCTGTAACTGTAAAGGGCTAAATGCATGACAGATAAATATCGGATTGTGCTCTTCCGAACTTTCTTCTAAGTGTGTGTGTGTGTGTGCGTGCGCGCACGCGCGCTTGATTCCACGACGCGAAGGTGTTTGTTGACAGCTTCCGATTGTATGTTTAAATCTTCAGGTGCGTGCCACCTTGTGCGGAAACAGCTTGTTCCCAAGGTGGATGACATCGCAGACACCGTGTCTGACGTGAAGAAAGCTATCACCAAGGTGTCCAAGAATGAAGTTGCCCTTGGGCAGCATGTTCATGTCTTTGGTAGTGATAGACCGAAGAGGTTTAGAAGTTTAGAGGAACATGTGTGATTGATCAGGCCCAAGACGTGGGGCGTGCAGTCTCCGACATCTTCAACAAATGGGCAACGGGTGGAAATGAAACTGGCAAGGCACGCCATGAAGAACCATTACAAGCGGACATCACAAGCTAACACGACAGATTGCCAACGGACAAATGCTGTGAGGCTGCGGTAGCAAGCACTACACCCTGTCCTTGCAGCGGAAACAGCAGCAATGCCACCAGTGTAGCTTCTGGACTGCAAGGAACAAAATAGGTTCGGTTCAACCACTTGTTTCTTATTTTGTTGTGTTTTGGCCACCCAACTTTGAGAAGATATGCAGCAGTTTTACTGTTTGTGCGACTTGGCCATACATGTGGAAAGGCCACAAAATTCACAGTTAGTTGTTCGCTCATCGTGCCTGTTGCTTATGGTTTATCAGTTCTGACACTTGGTTGGCAGTGCACCATCAAACAGGCCTCAGACGTGGTACCCGCTGTGGGGCGCGCTGTCTCCAATGTTGTTGACAAATGGGTCACTGCGCATGACCGTGATCAAGGCCTTCCAATCAGAGCTTCCCGGCATTGTCACACTGTCAGTCAGAAGTTATGCCGTGTTTCAGTTTCTGCAATCCAATGTGATACTTGCTCAAAAGGCAAAAAGCAGGGAACCTTCAAAAAACAGATGACATCCCGTGTTCCTGCAATACAAACTGCTGCCAAGTGTGAAGTTGATGGTTTTTCTACTTGGGATCTAAGGCTCCCTTACCTGATGAGGCTGCTGAGGAGCTGCGGAGTGAACATGAAGGGCTTTGCAAACTCTTTGCTGGTGTGGAGAGGGTTCCAAATGTTAGGACAGCCGTGTCGAGAGCGACGCAGGCTGGGCATTTTGAGTTCCACAGATGCCGATGGTCGGCCCAGCGGTGATTTTTCAGGTCGGCCCTGGTGGCACCTTGTGGGTCCTGTTGGATGCTTGGCGCTTGCAATCTTGGCCACCTTGCTGGTGGGACCGGGGATGTTCTTTTCTTTCGAAACGAAGGAGTGACAACATGCCTCAACTGAATTGGTGGTTCGACATCTCCAAACTCCCAATTTGTTTGTGCATCGTGCCAATGCACTTGTTGAGAAAAGTGTTCTTTCGGTCCACACTGCTTGGATGACATCAGCTGTGGGCAACTCCAGGGTGCTGCTTGGCGCAGGTGATTTTTGAGTTCTGCACTGGCAGATGAGACGGGCAGCATAGAGCCTGAGAGGGTGGAGGAGGCTGCACTTCAGCCACAAATGGAAGTTTGGATTGTCGGTCTATGTGATAATTAACTCCACAGAAGCGCAACGCATCAACAGAGAACGTTGACCTTGCTTTGTGCTCCTTGTCAACTGTGGAAAGATGATGAGAGGCCCATGTTAGCAAAACTGCGAAATGCCTCCGAATGTTCAAGGGTGAGCAACAGTTTAAACCGAGAGAAGACACCATGGCGCTATGGTGAGCAGAAAGAGCGAGCTCGGAAAAGAACTGCAGACTTCAAAGCCAAGCAGCCAGAGTGTGGAACATATGGGCCAAACTTGGGATCCGCATTGGTATTCTATGACTCTAGGACTGACAAGAACGAAAAAGATCCCCTCGAGTGTCATTTGTTCTGACATCGCCCAGATATGAACGTCTACTACGCCTATCCCAACATCCGTGGCTGCTGCGATCTCAGCGGACACACTCAGCCTTGTAGCGTCCAAAAGTTTCAACTTTCTTCACAGGCCGCAACATCGACAGCGCAACCATTGGCAAGCGGCTCTTCAGGAATTACCACGAGGCTTGGCATCTCTCAGTGAAAAGGGGAGCTGCTTCATTTTCTCATTGCCATTGAAGCAGGGTGTCTTCTCACAAGCCAGTTGAGTTGAAAGAATCCACTTCAAAAGTAGTGGCTTGAGAAGTAAGAGATGCCGACGCAGGTGTCTGTGGGAAATGCCGACGCTCCCATTGCTGGTTTCTTGAAGGCGCACTGGTGGCCATCCCACAGTCTGATATAATATATAAGTGGCATTGGTCAAGAACGGACACGAAAGGGGTAAACTTCCTGCGGAGAGTATTCTGGACTGCTGCAGCGGATTTTATATAACCCATTAACATTCATATTTATATACCATGTATGGTTTTTAGTTCGATCAATATTGATGATGTGAGACTGTGAGACTTCGAAGAAGCACAGATTCTGCATGTACACTCTTCCGATTCCCGTGCAGATTCAGCCGATGTTGAAGACCAAGTATGCAGTTGGGAGCCCAAACATGCAAGCAAATAGAAGAGCAGGTTACAGCAATGGTGTTGACAACCTTCTTGATCGATTCAGAGCAGTTGTCCTTGGCTTGCTAGTGAGGTGCTGATGCACAATGATGCCAACCTGCAATGTTTGAATCATATAGGTATTTTTTGATCACGAAGTCCAACAACAAGCTGTTTGTCGACCCGTTTTCTCAAACTGCTCTTTCTCTTAGACAAAGTTTGGCCCAAACACGCGTCAGTGAAGCTTCACACCACCTGTAGGCCGAAAAGCACGCAATGGAGGCACCGAAGCAAGTGGAAATGGATGCTGGAGGCTATGAGCTGGAGTCCGTCTTTGGCCCTCATGAAGCACTCTTGGTAAAGCAAACGATGCGTGGTTGCTGTCAGGAGTGTTTGGGCTGTGACGCAAAGTCAGAGTACAAGGTGGCACCTTTCAATCCTCAAGCAATTGATGGCATCCGAGTGACGGAGGCAGCAATGGGAGTTCCAGACATCATGTATGCCATTGAGCATTCCAGTTGCTGCTGCAGGGTCTGCAACCCTGCTGGACGCAACTTTCAAATGCATGTCTCCAGTGGAGGGGATCCTGGTGGCCAACCTATCCTGTACTATGATAAGCCGTTAACGTGTCCAGCATTTTTTACGGTCCAAACTGACAACGGAGGATCTATCGATTGCCCTTGTTGCTGCTGTTTGCCACAGCTTACACCGCACACTCCGAAAGGGCAATCAATTGGATCAGAGTCTCGCTACTACTGTGACATGTGCCTTTGTGTGCCCAAGTTCACCTACCACGAGAACAATGAAGTCTTGTACTTGATCAAGCCTGAAACCTGCTGCGGCGGTGCTTGTGTGGCTTGCAACTGCTGCAGTGGCAAGGGTCTGGTCTACATGCCCTTCTACTTCCACGATCCAAAGAGTGAAGAAGTCCTCGGAGGGAAGTATGAGGATGCCAACACTCCACAGATCCGCAAGGTTTGGGCTGGATTGAAGAAGGAGTGTTGCTCTACGGCCGACACCTTTGCAGTTGTCTTTCCGCCGGGATCCAGCCCTCAACGCAAGGCCGGCCTCCTTGGGATGACCTTCTTGATTGACTTTGTTTTCTTTGAAGGACATCAAGACAAAAGGACTTAGGTGATGCAAGAAGAGTGTCGAAAACGCTTGCAAAATCTGATGCGAGGGACTACTCAGTGTTTCTGAGTCTCTCAGTTTCATGCTTTGGGGATCTTTGAAAGAAAGCTCCGAAAGCTTCAATTGGACCGTGATGGAGAACCTGAGAACCGTTGCAAAATGTTGCAATGGAACTATGCAGTTTCGATTCGTTCCTTAATTTACCGACCAAGTCCTTTGCAGCAAAAATGTGCATCAGCGGAGCAACTGAGCGAGCCTTGCAGCCGTATGGCAGTACGATGGTGTTTGCTCAACTTCACTTAGAGACCAGCCAGGCATACCCCATGGAGAGAGACTTTGCGTGTGAGATGTTCAGGGCGCTGGAGGTGTGCAGTTTGTTTGTTCGTGAGTCATGAGTGAACATTTGTGTGTTTACAGTCTTGTCATGCCTTGTTCTGGAATCTAACATGGTCAGGGTTCCAGTTGCAACATATGGGCAGATGACAAGTGTTTGCTTATTGCTATGTGCAGTTGCATTACTCCAAAATGGCTGTCACCAGGCAAATCCGCATTTCCCAATTGCTGCACCTCAAATTTATGAGGCCGCATGCCGTGTGCTCTTGAAAAGGAAAGCCACTTGAGAGGAATCATTTGGACCTTTCTTCAGCCACCACAACTCGGGCAACTAACTGATCGCAAGCAATTGTGACAGGAACCAAGCAGAACACATGACCAGTGACGGCACTAGAAAGGCTCCTTCAGGATCAAATGAAGGCCACAAGTTTACAAGGCTCTGCCAGCACAAGCAGTTCCACTCCTCCGTGCAAGGCTGCAAGCGACCACATCGTTGTGCCACATGGGTCCACCGCTCAAGCAGCCGACGGGCGGATGGACAACACGGCAGAGTCTTTTGCTTTTTGAAGCAGAGTCTTTTTTCATGCGATCCGACTCGCATTCTTCAATGAGTTCTTGCTTGTGGAGTTGGAGTAGCCACAGCAGGTCTCGAAATCGGGAGCAATGCGCGCACGCACACACACACACACTCACACCAAGACCTGATAATTCTATTGCGCTGCACGAAATATGGAAGGCGATAAGAGGTTCTCGTGTGATCTTTTGTGAACATATTTCCAGTAATCGTGGTTTTGGTTGTAGGCGCGGTGGTGGCAGTGGTGGCGAAGGGGTTTTTGCTCAAGTGCTCCATACACAAAAGCACACTCAAACAGATTCATTTGGTGGAGGACCCAAAACCACAAGTAGACAGCGCCACATGGTCACCAAGAAGAGGCACCGAACGGGATGTTGCGTGGTTGGCAATAGCATACTCAAACAGATTCATATGATGGGTGCTTCCTTTACTCTCCGCACTTTTTTTCACCTGTTCAGCCGCAATACACTTCACTTGTGGGGTGTCCGGTCCTTAAGTTCGGTTTCTCTTTTGACTCACAGGGTCGGTCTAGTTGAGCCGGGGCGGTCGCAGCTGCGGAGTGCAGCTGCGGAGTGCAGCTGCAGCTGAGATGCGAAAGTTTGCCTTTGTGCCGGTGCTGTAGTTGGGGAACTGTGGTGTTTGTGGAAATAGCAGGTCACATCTCTGCCTCATTCCAGTTGAAATATGAATATCATGTTGTAGATGAACAGGCCATGGCTTAGCACTGTCCACTTTGGCACGTAAGATGTGAGTCTGCAACACGAAATCTGTTGATCAACCATCCTTCATGCCTGAACGTCCATGGGTAGATGTCTGTGTCTCCTCCAATGTGATGGCTGCAATGTGCTTGGCAATATTCTCTGATGCAATTTCCTATTCTCCTCACACTTTGTGCAGCACGTTCTGCGGCCCCTTTGCTCTGATGATGGTCTTTTCCGGTCACACGGATCTCTGTCTTGAGATTTAGTCTTGCCGCTTTGCCTTTGTTTGCTGTATTGCCTCAAGATTTGCAAGCAACTGCTCTCACCCTCTGCATGCAGCACAAGGTCTTCTTGGTTGCTGTTGTGAAGACTGAATCGAACCAACTCCTCAACAGTATGGCCGTCCCCTTGGCTAAGACTGGAAGCGCAATCACAGCCTTTGTATCTGAGATTGCCGCCCCCAACATAGTACCGTTCTGGTTGGGGTATGTTGGGGTAATCTTCTGGTTACACGGTTACGCATGCTCTCCAAGGACTGGCTCATAGCTTTCATTTGTGAAGGTACAGCGGTATAGGAGTATAAGCAAAGTCGAAGGTCCTCATTTGATGTTTTTGCTAAGCATGCATCAGGTTGTGGTGGTTTTGAACCTCGCCTAGGCCTAGGCATCTTGGGTACTTTGATTGCTTTTCGTTGCTCCTCCTCATAGAGCTTTCTTGCAATACTTGCTTCTAGCTCGCACTTCAACCCCAGATTGAAATTGTGGGTAGACCTTTGTGTGCACATGCTTCTGGCAACACCTTGGGTTCATCCATCTTGAAGACTTTGTCGTCCAAGGCAACCTCCTTTGTAGGGTCTCTCTCATGGTGTTGTGGCTCCTCCATTGCGAGTGCGGTCTCGTCAGCCTCACCTGTCTCATATTCATCCTCATCCCAATCGATTTGATGCAATGCATCCAATACATCCCGCACTTTTGGGAATGGAGCCAAAGGAGTTTCACTGCCTTCTTCTTAGAAGTTCTCAAAAGACGAAGGTGACAGGAATGTCAAGGTTCTCTGAGGGTCTTACGTAGGTACCAAGTACCTGAATGCAAATTCTTCATGCTCTTTGAAGTTGTTTGTTTTCTCGACCTGAATCCAGATCTCTTCAGTTCCAGGTTTCTTCACGAGCGTCAATCTTTTGTTCCATTTCTCATTGAGCATCCCCTCAGGATTGAGATACTTGTCTGGAACTGAGTCTGAGTGATTGCCACACCATTTGGAAGACGGTTCATCAACTCGCTCCAACAGCTGTCAAGTGCAAAGACTCCGTCGGCCGGTGTCTAGTGTGGACTCTTCCTCTCCTCTGTCACATCTTCCTCTCTGTCTCGCCTCCTCTGCTTGCTCTCCTCCAAAACTCGCAAGACTGTCTCTGAAGCAACTCCTCTTCGTCCACGCTGATGCCGACCATCTCGATCTTGGCCTTCAGGTAAATGCTGTGATTCTCATGGTGCAAAGGGATCATCGTGTGCGTATTCGGTTCCTACTGCATTCACGGTGGTCGATGGCCTATCTTCTGCGCACAACAATAGCTCTTTCACCCGTCCAAGGGCATATTGTTCTTGCATGTCAATCTCCCATTTGTTCCTCACTGTGAGTTTGGCTTTCGTCACTCCAGCTGAGGCTATCACCTTTCCTTGGGCGTCAATCATTTTCACTTTCTGCTTCTTATCAGTGCAAACCATTTTGTCCTCTTGTTCTGTCTGAACCGTTCTCACATGGAACTCATCTTCCTTCTTCTCTCTCTCTATCTTTTTCTTGCTCCTCAATGGCTTCATCATCTTGAAGATGCATGGCAACAATGCTGACATTTGGAGGGGTCCAAATGCCATCCTCATTTTCGCAATCGTGGAAGACATCTTTTGTGTCCTCACTCCTCTTCATGCTCATCCTCCATTTGCCATTCCTCGTCCTGAAATGGCTCATCCTCTGAAGTCTCATCTCAAACCTCCATGATTGTCCACACCCGGTTCATCTTCAGGCTCTCATCCTCATGTCGAACACGACCGTCTGAGGTGCGTCAGGTGGTGTCAGCAAGCTGTACTTTCTTTGGACTCCAGCACTCTCGTGCTAGACTCCTAGATGTCCCTTTTTCCCGCAGTTATGGCAAATGGGACGTGTGTCTTTCCCTTTGTCATTTTGTCCCTTCTTGTTTCCTTTTGATGTGCAGTTTTAAAATGTCCGCCCTTGTTCTTGCCATCATGTTTCTTGCCATCATTTTTTTTCTTACCTTTCTGCTTTCCGTTGCTCTTGTCTTTTCCTTTCTTTCCCTTTGTGACCATGCCACTTCCATAGGCACAGCCTCATCCGGTTGCCTCTCACAGCAGTTTGTCAAGTCCCACCTTGTGGTGAGTGTGATGCTTTCGTAGTGCATGATTCTCTCCAAGAATTTGCTCATAGGTTGTAGTCTCTGTGAGCTGGTAGTTGTGTCCGCAAGGCCGGCAGTGCAATCATGGAATCTTCTGGACACTTGCCTCTCCTGAAATCCTCTCGCACTCTTGTACGAGGCTTTCATAGGCCGGGATCTGCTCCGTAATCGTCTTTGAAGACCAGAATTCAACTTTGCTCAACTGTGTGACCAGGGCCAAGCCTTTCTGCCTTGTGGTTGGTTCCATGTCACAGGCCAACAATTTCCATCCTTTTGGATCCATTGAAGTCCTCAAGATGTTGAATGAGGGAGGGTGGCCTGTTCTTAATGTTTGTGTCATCATCCATCTCCTCAAGCTCATAGTTGCCGTTTGGCTGTTTGTTTATGGTTTCAAGCAATTCTGCAGTCCTAGGTTCAACCGCCTTCACAATTTGCATGAACGTGAACATCCAATCCGGCCATTGTCGAAGTTCCGCATCTCTGTTGCTTGGCTTGAACATGTTTGGTGCCTTGATATGCTTGTTCCATTGCTGGTTCTGTTGTAAGTGCACCAACTGCTGCAGAGGGTCGTTCCAAAGACGATGTTCCTCTGTCATTTCAATGGTGACAAAGGCATTTTTCCTTCTTCTTAGCCCTCCAAAACACTTTCACTCCATTCTTCTCTTCAAACAAATGCTTTTGTCCTCAATAACCTCAAACTCAAAACTCTGAATCTCCTCTGTGTTGTAGCAGCCTCCAGGTCTGAGGTACCTGAACTTCCACCTCGTGGAATTCGTCAACAAAGCAAATCTCTGGCTTGTCACTTTTCTCCTTCTACCTGACAATTCTGATGACCTTGCACTGATCGAATTCTAGCTTGTATGCAAGAAATCATCGAAGTTTGTGGGTTTGTCGAAGTGGCCTGGTCTTCTACTAAACAGTTGACACTTCCTTGTAAGGCCACAGGATTGCTGATGCATTCAAGTGTCACAAGACGCCCTGCTTGAAAGCCGATCCTGCTTGAAGTCGCCCTCCTTGGAGTTGATGTCGTTCGCCGGAGCCACCGGAGGGGCTCCCCGGAAGGGCTCCGCTACCATGTAAACTGGAGCAAACGCACCACAAAGATGGTGAATGGGACTGGATTGCTGAACACTTTGTATGTCCTGAGTCCTGACACATTTCCCAAAATCATTGCGTATGCAAGTGGTTGGACTATATTCGAAGGGTCCACCAACTTAGGGCATTGGTGTGATGGGTGTCTGGGCTTTGATTGTCTCAATTTGAGGCACCACCAGAACTTGCACGTGCGACCCTCGCCCACAAGCAAGACTGGCACGGGCCACAGGATGCGCTCTCAAGACGACTAGCAGCTAGCAATCCTCCAATCCTCCGGGGTAGTTGTGGGGACTATGAAGAATGATTGGCAAGGCTACTCTTTCAAGTCTTGTGATGCTTTGTGTTTAGTTTTGTTGAAGTAGTGTCCAGAAGCGAAATGTGATGCCTGCAGCCTTTGGCTTCGAGCCGTCATTGAAGAGGGATGCCATGGATAGCACAGCAAGATGCACAGATGCATGCTGCCCATCCGCAGATTTGTTTCCACACTTTCAGCGTTCTTTTTCGCTGAAGGAATCCGAGGAAAGCAGACCAGTTCCGCTTGTGGATTGCCCCAGCTCTATTCGGAATGCCAGGCCGACCAATTGTACCTTAGGCTTCGCGTCCCCTTTTGATGGTGCGGCGCAGCCATTCCGAGGGTCTGCCTGAAATGGTTGCGTAGCTTTTGGACTTTGAGCATGGTGTGGAGCACAGAGCGTTTCTACTTGATAGGCTTACTGCTAAATGCGTGCTTCATTGCCTAGTTATATTCCAGTACAAGAAGTTCGAGGTCTGGTGTGGCCACGTCACCCATTTCTCCAGCGTAGATTTCATGCGGGTGGAATGTTTCGATCTTTTGAGGACAGAATTCTATTCTAAGAGAACTCGAGACGACCATAGAGCATAGGAATATTTTTCCTAATATTAAGAACTGTAGCATGGACTGTCGAGGCATGCAGAAGCAAAGAAACAGCGACCTGTGGCTACCTAGTTGCTGGCACCATGACTGGCACTCCACTGGTGGTTCCACTAAGGGAGACATCTTCCAAAAGGGTTTGGGTAATCAGTTTGTTCTCTCAAGTTGTTGTCCCTGCAGAGCTGCAGCTTCTCTTGCTTGTTATATATATATATATATGTACACATATGCAAAAAAGTTGCATACATCATTGATGGGAAAGACTACTGTTTTCGAAAAGATCAAGTTGGGCCCACGAAGGATTGCCCAGAAAGGATTATACGATAATATTGAATTCATCATAGGATTTTTGCTTGCCTTTGCTGACATGGACTTCAGGACAACACCTTCATGAATTGCCAATAGCAAGGTAGGTGTCTAGAGTCTAGGAGGAAGCACAGCTGGTGCAAAGTGAAGATCTTTTTTCATGGCAAGAAGGCCACATCCAACAGCCTCAACGGTTGGCCATTGTGGCCTGCCAGGTGAGTGGGTCACTTCTTCACAAGCATATGGAAACTTCCTGCCTGAAGTTAATAGGCTTGGCAAGGGGCTGGAGAGCATAGAGTCCATTGCATGTCGTGTTGCCCCTCTCGTGCTTGTGGTGCTGAAGGGAGTGCACAGCGTTGACAAACCTGGAGCTGGCTGTAAAGTCTAACGATACACGTTGCTTGTTCCTTGTGGAGACTGGCAGACAGCATGTAGGTTGTATGAAACCATTCCGTTCTTATCAAATCAGTAGTTCCTGGTGCTCTCGGCAGGGCGCCAAGCCGAGCGGCAGACGCGTATCGTGCTCCTGAGCGCATCTCGCCAGAGCCAGAGCGCCAGCGAGCTCGGCCGCAGGAACGGCTCATAGCGCAACATGCATGCAGACCCATGTTGGATCTTGCCAAGCAAGTTGTCTATAAAGTCTCATGTTGCTTTAGCATCCGTTCAGTGTGAATGAGGATGAATGATATGTTTCACTAGAAAGGGATGACATGAGGTGTAGAATCTAGAAAACTTCAATGGGACTTGTTGGACTTTTTCGCAGTTCCTTTCAGGAGCGTCCGTGGCAGTTTCCACCTGCTGGACCGCGCTTTGCGGAGAATCTGGGCTGAAGCTGAATAGAGATTCCTGAGGTACCTGCAGTGATTACTTTGACCACGAAAGATCCACTTATGCAAAAAATTAGGCGGAGGATCTGAGAAGATCTGGGAAGATGATGACTCGTTTTTCAATCTTGGGAATGTACATCATTGAAATCATGTTCACTCGAGCTTCTTGAGGATGGGAGGTCATGGCCACGACCAGGCCGTGCCCTCGACTTGTGCAGGGGAGGATATACTGTAGACATCTTTTGCATTCAGCCATGTCTCTAGTTTAATCTTGTGCTCGTGTCGACTTCTTTCCAGATTTCTTCAGTTCACAAGTCAGGTGCAACATCAGCTGGTGCAGATGCATCTCCAGTTGCAGCAACAGCAGCTACAGCTGGAGCTTCTCCAGCGACAGATGCAGCAGCAGCAGATCCTTGCCCGTGCCAGAAGCCTAAGCCAGGTCTTTGCATGAATGGCAAGCGATCATTTATTGAATAAACATCTACAGAGTCCTAGGATTGAGGCTCGAGAGCCCTTTATTCACACAGCGTTGCACAAAACACAGCAACGTTGGCATTCTTGCGGATCGACCTGTTTGTGCAATCTGCACAGCCAGGTTCACCAGTCGCCCTGGGTTCCCAGAAGTCTGGGGCTTTGTCGGACAGGTTTGCGGTTTATGAATAACAAAACAAAACTCAAAAGCCAAGAAACTACTGGCGATCACCTCCAACCCAATACCGATGGCCTCCAACCTAATAGCGACGGCCTCCCAAGCTAATCACACCAACCTAACTGGCTATGTGGTGCGACCACCTTGTCATTTCTCATGGTTTGAAAGATTCTCTGTGGCAGCTTCGGCCATCGAATACCAAGCAAGCTGATGTTTGTTCGGGTTTGGTCGGGTTTGGTTGTCGCTTGTGAGAGGAGTCCAAGCTTGAAACAACGCTGCCAAGGATATCGCGCGGATGAGTTGTGGTGAAGGAGGTGGCTGGTGGGATTTCAGTTTAGTGTCTTTGTTGTAAGTGTAGCCTGCATGCTTTCCATGCCCTTAGGCTTGCTATGGGTCACTGAATAGCAATGTACTTGTCACTTCGGTTGTAAGACCCAAGCGGTTGCGCCTGGCTGCTTCATGCTTTTTCAGTTGGAGGAGACTGGTCTGAGGATCAGAGGATCCAAGGGCTGGAAGTGTTTGACAAGCTGCCCCAAGGGCAGTGCTTGGATTCTACAGTGTGACCCAAAACTGGGTTGCAGACGTCGCTGGCTTCAGACCAATTGAAGCTTGGTGCACGTTGGTTTGATGACCAAGCTGGTCATGTTAAGTCAGAGGCTCGTGATGGGAACGAAGCCGTTCGAGCGAAGAAACAGTTCCCTTTTCCACTGATCAACTGAAACATGTCTTGAGGTAGATAGGTTTCTGAAGTCACTAATCTTTCTGAGGCTATCGCATTGACTATGACCTTAGCTTGAACTTGCTTACGCAGAGGAAGCCAGAGGACTGGGGTTGCGGAGCATCGAGCAAGAAGCCAACTAGTTCAACTCACCGACACTTTGATGTGTTTGTATAGGCAAGAAACCAGAGTCGGAGTCTTGATGTGCTGGTTCTTGCAGGACTTCAAGGAAGGCCCTCAGGCTGGACTTTTTCAGGTTAGAGCGACTCTTGCCAGAATCGCGCGTGGATGTATTTGCCAGTGCAAGGTGGACTTCCTGGAAGACCATGCGTTCTTCGCACGCACCGACAGGCCAGACAGCGCAAAAGAAAGGACGTACGAAATCAACAGCCTTGGATCAGGATTCTTCAAATGAATGGATCAAACGATTGATGATTGACTTGTGAACTCATTGTGTTTCAATCCACAGACTCGATGACAGATGAGTCAACGAGTTGATGACTGGACGCAGAGCTGCCCATTTTCGGGCACCACATCATCATGCTCTTGATAGGATCAGACATAGGTGAAATCAACCATTCAAAGATCTGCACAGGACATTTCTTGAAACCTGGGATGATGAAACCAACTTTTCACGAGTTGACACGTGTAGTCAGTCTAGTTTTTCACTTGTCGCAAGGCTGAGCTTATCCTAGCTTATCCACTTAATTAAAAACATATATATATATATCCACCTAATGAGTTCATAGCCCTTAGCAGACAGGACCATTGAGTATTTGGTGCTAGTGGCACCAGTTCCTGCAGACATGTCCGTGCGGAAGGGCTGGCTGGCTCTTGCTGTAGTGTGCCTGGTATGGAATTCCTTGCGTTTCAACCAGACGGACGCATTTCTCTCTCCCAGAGGGCTCCGCCAGCGTGAATGCACCAAGGTCCAAGCTTCTTCCGGCACGACTTTTGCCACCTCTCCAGTAGTGCCAGCTATACGGGAAGCCCTGAAAGAAGGAGGATGCCTGAACCAATGGTTTGACTCTGCAACAGCTGTGGCCAATGCTTGTGGCCTGCAGACAGATGAGGCGGAAACAATTCTGGCAAAAGGATTTGGCTGGTCGACTTGGCTTGCTGTGAACAGAGCTGCATACCTCAAGCCTGAGAACCCCGATTCTGCCAAGATCTCTGAGGGTCTTGACTACTTCACATCAGGCCCCTTAAAACTGACCAAGGAAGAGTTGCGCTATGTGCTCCAAGAAAGCCCAAAGGCATTGAATAGGCCTGCTGCAGCTTACCAGGACGCCTTGGCCACGGCACCAGAGGAGTTTCAATCACCAGAAGCATTCCGGGAGCTGCTGCTGCGGTGCCCAATGGTGTTGGAGTTGTCTTTCAATTGTGGACACAGCTGTGCAGCAGCCTGCGCAAGATGCTGGTGCCCAGCATTGTCGAGGATCAAGAGAACTGAGTTGAAGAAAGAGTCCGGCTTGCAGACGAGGTAAGAAACTTTTGGGCTGTCAAGCGTTAGCTGTGTTTGGGCTGTTTTCTAGGTTTTCCACTGACGCTTTTTTGGTCGGCCACACCGGGGCATCGTGAAACACGATGTTTGTGTGCCACCAAGTCAATTCGTTTAACTCGGTTGCCATCAGTGCAGCCTTTTTCAGCAGAAGCAATCTCCTTCTTGCTCCCAGGTTGCACAACACACAAACGTGCGGGCAGACGTTCAATTCTTGATCCAACACAGATGCAAGACTGAAACAAATGAAAAAGGAAGGGAACCGACAGAACCTTGCAGAACAATGCAGGTATCATGAGCTGCTGGATCCAGCAGGATCGTTCACCCTTGAGTGCTCCAAAATCTGTGTGTGGCGCTGGTTGCGCATCATTCATCAGTCTGCAGGTACATGGACATGATCTTGAACATGCGCTCCCGCAACACCTCAGCGTGGTATGTGCCAACAGCGCGCTGCATCTTTGATGTTGACACTGGCAAGGTCCGGTGGGAGGCACGTCTCTGACACTGGCTGAATTGTGGACCACTCCGTTCTGGCTGAATTGTGGACCACTCCGTTTGAAACGGAATGTTGACAACAACTGTGCGAGGATGTGCCCTATTTGGTCTACAAGCGTGGCGAGCAGGTTGGTCACCAGGCCAGGGGATCAAACGTTTGGGTGCAACGTGTAAGAAGACAATCGTTTTTTTGTATTCCTTGAATTTTCAGGCATTCTAGCCGCACACGGAGCATTTAGCACGGCATTACGTCAGAAATCAACTCTGCTAGCAGGTTCGCAACTACCTCACCAAGAAGCGGCTTGGCTTCGAAGGAAAGGAAAGCGAGCCAAGCAATGAGATAGGGAGGTTTGCACATTCTAGTTGGCGGCAGGTGGGGTGTGGAGTTTGTGAACACTGGCATTTGGAACTACGTGCGCTATGCCCAGAGCTTAGTTATGACAGAGCAGTTCTCAATTCGAGCATGTTTGAGCATCCCTGCCGAGAGGTTCAATGACCCCAACCTGCCACACCTTTGAACTCAGTTCAGTCCGTTTGCGAATCCTGGTTTCCTGGCGGCGGCAGCAGCAGCAGCAGCGGCAGCAGCAGCCGCGGCGGCGGCAGCAGCAGCAGCAGGTTGTGGTGGTGGTGGTGGTGGTGGTGGTGGTATGAAGTTTCTACTGCAACAGTGAACGTCCTAAAAACAAAAGTTAAGTGACATGAACCTTCAACAAACCTCGAACCTTAAAGCCCGACTCCCTCGACCGCGAATGGTCGAAACGCCCAATCCCACTCCGTCCAGTGGGGCGCGTCATCCTTGTGCAGGGGCCCTTGTGACCCTGCTCGGCTCGAAAGTGGCTCGAACTGAACAACTTGGTACACTTCTTGGTTTGTGCACCTGTCAAAAACCATGCCCAAAAATGGTCTTGCGACCGCAGGCTAGAGCAAACCCAAGATATGATCACTGGACTCCATGAACTGCTGTTTGTCATGTACTTGGTACTCGAGTACACGAAAGCACGAACTCTCACACCCCCGCTCAAGCAGGAGTTCTGGATTTGAACGCTTGTACCCATGAACAAAAGCGTCAATTTCTGCGAAAGTTGGCTATTGATTCCTTCGAACTTAAACCTCATGAATGGAATCCGGTCGGGATCTATCTCATGGGATGTAAATGCATTGCTTGCGCGGCTTGAGCTTTCGATCAAAAAGTGGCGCAAGCACCGGCTGGTTCCATCATCCCTCATGTCGTGGATGTACTTGCTATGCTCGAAGCTGAAGCAAAGGCTTTGATCCCTCGACACTAGGCCCACAGTCAAGCACATAGGGCATAGCTCAAGGTTCTTTGCCAATGCGCTCTCACGGTGATGCTTCGAATCCTCTCGCCACTCTTGATGCAAATGCAGTAGCCGCGCACTGGTGGTGGTCGAAGGAAGAGCGGATCTGGCGTGTCCCGAGCTGGAGATGGCGATGGGCACTTCGGCTCATCATCTCCCTCAGCGTCCATGGGGGTAGGAGGAGGAGTAGGGTAGGAGTGGCAGTAGCAGTAGCAGTGGGAGGACGAGGAGGCGGAGGAGGCAGCGGCAGCAGCAGTTGAACGCGACTTAGGGACGTTGTTCAGCATTTTAAGACCAGTGTGCAGGAGTGTTCAAGATAATTCCGCAATTTGAAGAACATTCAGGTCATGCTTGCAGATGTTGTGATCCGCGATGATGGCCTTCCAACCAAGTGGAAGGATCAGGCACACAAACGATAAAGGGTTCGGTCCTGTGTTGGTTGCCATTTTTTGTGGATAAGACTGGACATTCTTCGAAAGACGTTGATTCACTTAGTTAGCGCTTGGAGCCTTCCAAACACCCTACACTTGGCGGTCGTCGAGGCCGCTGTTTTCTACAGCTGGTTTGAATCCGTGGGATTCAATCGTCGTGCCCTGAGCTGCCGGACCAATCAAGCAGAATGATGTACAAGGTCAGAAACAATATCGCACGGTATTCAATTGTCGTGTTTTTTGTCATGTTGCGAAGATGGCAGCATTCTCAAGGGTACAACGGCGAGTACCTGCCGCAGTTCATCGAGGATCCTGCTCCTGGCACAGTAAACATCTCCCGCACAATGAAGTGCGCCCAGCAGCAACAATGTTGAACAGCTCTGAATTTTCAAAGGTAGGGCAAAATTTGATGACAACCCCTTGGTGTAGTGGGGTTCGCTGGAGCAACTGAATCCAGGTGGACCCTCCCCACTGATGTTCCTGAACATCGCATTCCCCCGAAGCCTGGAACTCAGCTCTGTGGCAGAGTTCTGAGTGGAATTTTGGTAAGTGATGTGCATATATCTATATATAGATATATGAGAATTCCCCTGAGCCGTAGGAGTGCAATGGAAATTCTGCCCAAGCAGTCACGGAAGAAGGCAACTTGCCAAGTTTGGAGACTGCAGGAAAGAGCGTCACACATTTAGTTTTGACATCTGATTAAGTTGTACAGTTGTACCTCCTTGTCACCTCATGTGCGCTTCGACTTGCAGGTAGGTGCCATCGACATTTCCTTCAAGGAACCTCATTTGCCCATTGGCGTCGCGGCCCCAAGGGTCAAAGGACAAAGTGGACGCAGGCCATCACTGGTAGATTGGAGCCCATCGCTACTAGAAACAAAGAATAATGAAAGGTAAGAAAGGTCTATTATTTTGTCGAAACCTTGGACGAGAAACTCTGGCAAGAAAGGTTCTTGCAGGAACAGACTTGACGTTCTGTCTCTCCCTTTCAGTGGTCAGTATGTTGCATACTATAAATCGTGTGCCTTTTTGTTTATCATCCAATAATGAACAGGCAGACTATTTGTATATTAAATTACTATATATGTATATAATACTGCTATGTGTGTTGGCTTGCTGTTTTTCCAGACGGATTGACCCACCGCTGTGGATCAGTTGAACGGAAGTCCAAAATGATGAAGTTTTGGGGCTCCTGGCATCGCTACTAGGAACAAGGACGCTTTTTGCGCCTCTTTGCTTTTGGCAACAAGAAGCCTACAAAACCGGTCCCTTTGCGAGCCATTTCGACACGAGCCATTTCGCTTTGCTGCTACCGGGGGCTTGGTTGCTACGTATGTCCTGTGCTGGCTAGGTGTCGTCCTTTTGGTTACGGG